AAAAAAAAAAAAAAAAGACCAAATCTTAAGTTTTAAACAGAAACTATTTATGGCAGGGCCCACACCCATTCCTATCATGAAGACATAGTCAGAACACAGTTAAGTCCTATACAAATCTTTTTTTAAGGTACACCCAAAGCTTAAGATTACTTCAAGATTATCCATCTTGATAAAGGTCTCTCTGAGTTATGGTTAAATTGTAACATTATTCCTGCCCAACTAAAACCTCAACAGTCCAGTTAAAGCCTAGCCAGGGCCAAAACCCGGTTACTACCTCCGTAGGGACTGAAGCTAAAGTCTAGTCAGAATCTCAGTTTAAATGAAGCCTTGTCACAGTCTTGCTAGAATATAGAAAGAATCTAAAACTATTTCAAGAGCTAGTTAAGTAAGTTAAGGCCTACTCAGGCCCCTGAGGGTCTAGTCAGTGCCAAAGTCCAGTAAAAGCATCATAGGTTCTGTTAAGGTCTGGTCAGGCTCAGCTGAAGCTTAATCAGCATTCAGTTTTGTTCTAATCAGAACCTAAGACATTTAAAGCTCTGGCCAGCCCTATTAAAGTTTGACTAGGATGTAAACATAGTTTAGACCTATTCAAAACCCACTTGAATCCCACCCAGGTCTAAATCTCAGTTGAGATCTTGTGAAAACCTTCTTAGGCCCCAGCTGGGCTATAAATCTAGGGAAGGTGTTGCGGGAATCTCTCTGGAATAAGCACTCCGACACCAATGGCAGTGGAAGAGAGGAGCTGTCTTCACCGGTGAACTGAAGCCAGGATAGTTCCAGAACAGCTTCCGTGCCAGGTCTGTTTGCGTTCTTATTTTATTTTCTAAAGCCACAAGATGGGGAGAGGACGCAGTTGCTATTTTACAGAAGCTGACGTGGCGGTCAGCCTCTTGTTTTTAAGGGCAAATTTTCAAGCTGACAGGTGTAAGCTGTTGTGGCCAGGTTGTTAAGGGCGGCAACTCATTGTTTCAGCTATTTCTTCAGGTCATTCTGTTCTAGGTAGCAAGTGAAATCATGCTTGCAAATAAGCAGTACAAATAGTGCTTTAAGTAAATCCAATAATTGGTCTTTTCTGCCTTATTCTACTTCATTTCCGTCTCCGCGGCTTCATAAAGCCTTATGAATCTATCTTGAAGAAATGGGTTGGTACTCCTGATGTATTATTTGTAGTTTTTTTTTTTTTAATTTTGCTTTGTTTTTTTGTTTTTGCTTTCATTCTAGTTCTGATGAACCTGGCTGGAAAGGGTGTTCAAGATGCATGGTCCTAATAGACATTCTAGCATTATTCTTATAAGAGGCCCTATTAGCGGAGCCAGCCAGGGTCACCATGTTAAAAACCATGGTCCTCATTTAAAACCATGCATATGCCTCCCTTTTCAGCGGTGGTAATCAAATCTAATCCTCTACAGTGTTGGAGGGTCACTGCTGTCAGCAAATCTATCCAGTTTTGAACAGTGACTATGCTTTTTCTGAACAATAGGTAAATCTTCTTTGGTCTGAGTAGAAAGCTGATGTTACACTTGATGGATGCCTATTGCAGCAGCACGGGGGGTCATGGACCTTGTCAGAGCCATTCCCAGCAGGACAGATAGAAGTACAGGAGGAGTTCTCTTACTGTTTGAATCTAAGGGATGTAAGCATCGCTGAACCTTGCTTCCTGGGAACACATCTAAGTCAGGGGCCAAGAATTAGCTGCCTGCAACTGTCTTATGCAGAGCAGATGTAAATATTCTAGGAGTCAAAAAGTGTGTACAATCAGGAGCTTCTGCTCTGTTAACCAGTCTGGTACAGCCATTTGTTTGCTTGTTTAGTTTTTTCGAGATAGGGTTTCTCTGTGTAGCCCTGGCTTCTCTGGAACTCTCTCTGCAGACCAGGCTGGCCTTCAACTCACAGAGATTCACCTGGCTCTGCCTCCTGAGTGCTGGAATTAAAGGCGTGCACCACCACTGCCCAAGCCCTTTTCATTTTCCACAGATTGGGCTTCTCCTACGACTCGAACAGGCTGTCCTGTTAAACATGTCCCATTTGTGTTGTTAGTCGGACTTTGGTAAGTCATTCCTATTTCAGTATAGGCAGCCTGTCCTGCACACAATCATACACAGCAGTCCTGACCTAGAGATGGGTCTGTTAGGCAGAGTAGCTCATGGCTGGCGTTTACTATAGCCAGCATTTCGAGAAGGGGTGTATTGGGACAGAATTAGCTGGCTTTTTCCTGTTTACAGATCGGTTCAAGGGCCGTGTGGGGGGCCCAGGGGCTTAGAATCTGAACTCTGTTAACCTGTACCATCACAATGACTGGTGTAATAACCAACCATAGAGTCCTTACGGAGTTCTTATGCCTATGTCAGACCAACCCATTCTGAGGTCATGGCTTCTCCACACAAAGGGCTTTTCTATAGTCAATTTCTGTATTATTCCTCCCAGGTTGCCCCCCTCAAGGCCCTTTACAGCTTTAACTACTTATTACTCTATGGGAGTTCCTTTCCAGGCCTAGTGAAGTTAAGGGGTAGCTAAGCCAAGCCAAGGTAAGTCCTAATAGAACCCAGTTAGCCTAGTCATAGGTTATGCCTGGTTAACATCTATTCATAGTATTCTTAACATCTTGCCAGGATACGAACCAGAGAGAGACAGCCTATTTAGAATCTAATTTCAGATACAGAATGTTTGAGCCTGCGTAGTGGTTTCTTTTTCTTTTTCTTTTTCTTTTGTTTTGTTTTATTTTATTTTGTTTTATTTGCCAAGAGCTAATCTTAGTTAAATTCTAATTAGAGGCTAGTTAAGGTCTAGCAAGAGTCCAAGAATAGTAAAGGCCTACTCAGGGACAAGGTAAGGTAAAACTAGGACCTATTAAGGCCAATTACATCCTATCCACAGTCTCAGTCACGTTAAGGTCTAGGGAAGACTAAAGTGTTGAAATTATTCCAGATTGCTCAAGACTTTCTTCATTAAATGACAAGAATCTCGAGTCCTGTAAAAGCTTTAATCCCTGGAAAACCAGATTGAGTTTGTTTTTATTTTTGCCTTGAACTTCCTAACTTACAAAAGATCTCTCAAAAATTATCTCACTTGATGGTGTCCTCACCATCTTCAGTATATAGAAGACAAAACACAGGTTTACAGAAACTTAGTTCTTTCCTCAACGAATGTCAGAGAGAAAACGTTTAAGTCTGTATCTGAACTGAGATCACACACTTGCATGTTTTACCTAAATTGTTAGGCTGTCTCCCCACAATTAAAGATTGTCTAAATTAAAAGGATTGTAATTGCCCAAAGTGTTATCATCATATTTATTTCTGATAAGGACTGAGAGTCATGGTAAACTTAAGCAAACTGTTAAGGAAACATTTAGGTTTGAACCTAAGTCTCTCTGTCTACAGTGTCCGTATTCCTTAAAAACAATGTCTCCTTTCTCCACCCGTCCTTCTTCCCCAGTGTCAAATATTTCTGTCCATGCCTGTGGGACTGAGATAGTCATGCATGCATGGCTCAATGATGTTTCTATCTCTGTATTATTAGAAGTCTATCAAGCATTCATCAGTTTGTGTTTATATTGACACTTTTAACCTCAGTGTGAGGTTTATATATGGAACTTCGCTGTTTCACAATGGACATCACAACTGACATGGCAGTAGACTGAACTTTCAGCCATTTGATTTACTGTGGTTTGGGAAGGGACACAGAAGACAAAGCTGGCCTAGTTCAGTAATTCGTGGGACAGTTACTGTATACCTCCCTGTATAGTAATGTTCTGGGACCCAAGAAAAAGATCCTGGCCTTCTTCTATGGATTTAGCTGCGAGAAGGCACTAAAGACTTGGCTTGCCTTTTCCTGGCTGTGCCATTTCTGTCACCTCCTGTGAGCTTACCAGGGGTGACAGGCATTTCTATTAAAAAGTCTGTACATAAATATAGCTGTATCTGCCACTATGTTATCCTGAGGACAAAATAGTTGCCACCCCTGCAGAATGCAGCAGCTTCTGGATTCGATGCCAATGGTAGCAGTATGCCAAGCATGAAGTATCCTGTTCTCCCCCTGCCAAGTAAATACCAGTTTCCCCTTTAGTGATGCATTGCAAAGGACAGTTTCCACTCTTCTTGTGTGGCAGTGGCAATGGGAAAAGCTTTCAACATGAGCAATTAGTGGCACAGTGGAAGAGGCCGTTGGGATTTACTTTAGGTCACAGTTACTTAGTTGTACTATAATTTTCTTATTTGTGTTATTATGTTCCTGTAGAGAACTGTTTGATGTAATGTATCATGCGAAGGGAAGGCAGAGTGGCTTGGAAGAAACAATTGACTCATTCCACTGAATAGCCTGGATACTCAAATCATATTTTCTTTCTTGGAAAGAGTGACAATGGAAATTCTAGTCTCTGATAGTCACTTGGCAGTTCTCCTTATAGGGTCTATAGATGATTTTATGGTTTGATTCCCAGATATTAGTGGAATGCATTATTAGATTTTGAAACATACTCAAGGTATGTAATCTGTCCTAACAAGGAATTTGGAGGACTTTTCCTCAAGGATTAGGGACTTTGCAGTATATTATTGGAAGCTATGGAAAGAGCAGCAAATCAGGTTCTAGTTTATAGCCCTTTCCAGCCATGCACCATGGACCATTTGGCTTGTGGGGATTTTGATTTTCATAAATACATAGTGGAGATATAGCCCATGCTCCCCTATCAACTTCCCAGTAATTTGAAGATCCAATGAGATGTGATGTGAAAGAAGTTTGGTTTCCACTCCCTCAGTTGTGCAATAAGAATCTTTGTCAGATAGGACTCTTGTAGGTTTGGTGAATGTGCTTGAGGATACGGTTTCCAGAAGGGTTTCCTCTGTGTAGCTTTGCTCCTTTCCTGGAACTCACTCTGTAGCCCAGGCTGGCCTCGAACTCACAGAAATCCGCCTGCCTCTGCCTCCCGAGTGCTGGGATCAAAGGCGTGTGTCACCACCGCCCGGTGAGGCTTATGTTTTTATGTTTAGGTAACATGCTGCCACTGAGCCCTACCCATATGCCCTCTTTTTGTTTTTCATTTTGAGACAAAGTATCACTAAGTTGGCCAGAACTCCAGGGCTCAGTCTTGCACTTGAAGCTCAGAACAAACCCCAGACCAGGATGGTAAGGGTAAGAGGTATTGTGTTTCTTCCTCTTGTTACTTTAATGGGCCACTAGTACCAGCCAGGATGCCCCACACATTACTTCCTGGATCCCGGAATTCCCCTAGCACAACTATACAGCTAGCATTTATAAAGCACTTAATAAACTGGGAACCATTTTAAACTCATTCATGAAATAACTCATGCAATTACCCTGCTATCCCTTTTCTACAGGTAAGGAAATTAAGGCAAAAGTAGCTTAGAAATGTTATTAGTAAAGTTATAATGAAAATATAAGTCTGTTTGTTACAATATATAACCCTCTTAGTCACTACCATCATTTTGGTGTTTCTCCTAAAGAGACTATTTTTTCCCATCAACCCTGCCCTCCCCTCCAACTTTTCTTTTTCCTCTCAGAAATCTGAGGGGAAAATTAGGAACAGAACCTTTTTTTCCTATCACCCTCAGTTATGTTTTTCCTTCCCCCCATTTTCAGCTTTTCTTCTGCACTTGCTACTCTTTCTGAAAGTGTTAACATCTTTTTCTGGGCTCTCTGGGAGACTCTTGTAGCAGCTAAGCTTCAGGGACAAGCCTGTTTATGTCCCCCCAAGCCAAGATAGGGTAGCTGACCCCATGGTTGGATAGCATTCTGAAAAACTGTGTGCCTAAGAAAATAACTAAGAGGCATTTTCAAAATATCATTCCTCAGCACTGATGAAGTAGTTTTTCTGAAGGGTAAGCGAGAGTCGAAGACCATCTCTTCAGCAATGAACATATCAGAAAGAGGAGGAGAGAAAGTCAGAAGAACTTGCTTTAAATTGACTATAAGGGCATTCTACTCTCCCTTGTCTTGGTTTGTTTTGAATTTTTCATGTATTTTTCAAGAAGGGGCCATGTCTAGCTCTTCAGCTGCACACTTCTTTCCCTCTTTCTTAATAAATTAAAGATGGTCCATGGACGTTTCAAATAGCAGGCAAATGCCTTATTGTGTGCGATTTTTGTAAAGGCAACAATTTCTAACTTTAAAAAATAAGTGTCAGTGGTGCAGGACAGCAACGGGATGTCCAGGAAGAGCCCCAGCGAGGTCCCAGCATTGATAGTGTAGCAGAGCCCAGGGGCCTCACCCCAGACCAATGATTCTTTGCGATGAATGCCTCCTTGTAAAAATGTATGGATAAAGGGATTTACCGAGTGACTCACTGTGTCACACTGCAGCTTCCAAGACAAGAATTTCCGCTTCTTCCTCCTCCCTTTTCTCTTACATTTTATCTTGTTTTTTTTTTTGGGGGGGGATGGGTGGGATCGGGAGGCATGATGTGAAAGACAAAAAGTCAAAAAATAGGTATAAGGGTAAGTCTTGTTGATAATTTTCATTGTATCTCCCTAGAGATTCTCCTACTATATAAAAATGATGGGATAGTCCTTTTCGATGTTTCCCTGGAGGTGGAGAGGGCAAAGAGAAGTTATACATGTCTAGAAGTGGTTTTTTTTAATTTCTTATTCATTCTTTGAGAATTTCATACAATGTATTTTGAACATATTTACCCTCTTGACTGCCCCCCTCACCACATTCAAAAGCCTCTCCTCCTTTCCCATCCAACTTTGAGACTATTTATTTACTTTCCTTCTTTCCCTACTGAGTGCAGTTTGTGTTGCACAAAACCTGCATGGACTTGAGATAAAAATCCCAGCCGAGAGGGCGACGGCGGTGGCAGTGGCGGCGGCGGCGGCAGCGGTGGGAGGGGGGGTAATCCTAGCACCAGCTGAGGAACCATTAACACACATGTTGTTTGTTTAAACATTTAAATGAAATGCTTGTATCCAAATGGCACTGCAGCACTACAGAAGGGAGCACAATAAAAAAAAAAAAATCCTCTTTGTGAATACGGAACTGGCACCTGTACTCACCAAAGGCACATTTAATCACTCCCATATAACTGCCTCTGTTCCCTTTGGATATGAAGCAATTCACCTTGCCTGGTGCAGGGAAGCTTATCGACTATAAACACGGGCCCAGTGGCTTTGGATTCCTTTGCTCCCTTTCTGTCCCACTGTTAGATACTTATTGCCAGATTTCTAGTTGGAAGCAGTGCCAAATAACAGGCTAAGACTTTCAATTAGAAGAAAGTGGTGGGTTTTTGTTAGTCATGTTGACAAAACGTGAGACAGATGCAAAGAGTCAAGCTATCAGTTAGATAGCATCACCTGTAATCTAGCTCTCTCAGCTGCTTATGAGAGGCAGATTATGTCACATTCCATCAATTAGAAACTGTCTGGCAATCAGGACCTCTTGCCTTTGCATTGACATGAAGTAGAGATCTACACTAGGCAAAGGGAGCCCTCCCTGAATGTTTCCACTTCATTTCCTTAGCGTTAATGACAGGCTGGTCAAACAATACTGATGACACTCATCATTGTCCTAAATTTCATCTAAATGGGATGATGGGGTATATAATACACTTTCAAACTTCTGGTTTCTGTTGACATTCTTTTACATGTATTCTAGTAGATGTTCACACTCTGTAATTTGGATATGTACTTACTAGTAAAACTACAGCTTCATGAGATCGAGATAGACTTGGCTTTAGTAGATACTGTCCAGTATTTTCCAAAGTAGTTGTATGAGCCAGTACTTTCACCTGCAATGTATGTGAGTTCCAGTGGATCCATTGTTCTGTTTCTTATTATATCTGTTTAGTATATCTGTCCTTTCTGATATACCTGTTCTGGTGGGGTTTGATATATCTCAGTGTGGACTGGATTTGCATTTCTCTGATGAGTAATAGTGATAAATGCCTATTTGTGTACTTGTAGTATAGATAGCCTCTTCTCTGAAATAGTAGTTAATTTCTTTTGTCTTTTTTTGACATTTGCATTGTCTTGTTCTTATTGATTTATAGGAGTTTAAAATATATGCATAGAGTGGGTAGGTATAAACCTTCTATTGGGAATACTTTCTGAATATTTTCCTATTCTATTATTGATCTTTTTACTCTCAAGGTATCTTTTAATAGATAAAAGCTCCTATTTTAATGAAAATAATAATTAACTAATTTGGGGGAATATGTGGTAAATCTTTGCTTTTCTAAGATCATGAAGGTTTTCTCTTTTGGTTTGAGCTACATATTTGCTTTATCTTTCAGGTTTAAGTCTACTATCTATTTCATATTAGTTTTTAGTATTTGATGTATGATCACCATCATGGTTCCATTGGTTTGTCTGTCTGCATATCAGTACTATGTCTGTAGCCATAAATTTAGCCTTGATATTTTAAATTTTTTATTTATGTTAACATGTAATACACATATTCATGGTATATGGCATAGTATTTCTGTAATTGCATACAATATGCACTAATAGAATCAGGGTAATTAACATGTCTTTCTTTAAGATTGGCATCTTTGAGTTCCTATCTTCTAGTTACTACGAAAATATATGGTTTGTTATTGTGAACCTACTGTGTCATAGAAATCCAGAACATAGTCCTCCTATTTAACTTCATTTTGGTACCCATTATAAAACTTCCCTTTATCCTCCTTCCATGTGGCCCTTCCAAGTTTCTAGTAGTCAGTATTCTTCACTCACATTGACAAATTTTAGCCTCCACATATGAGAGAGAATGTGCAACATTTGCCTTCATATGCTTTAGGTTTGATATCTGGTAGTATACATCTTCTAGTCTTGTTCCATATGAGTTCCGGTTCTTTATATATGCTTATATGTAATTTTGCTCAAAGTGGCCTTCATAAGTAGTATTGAGCTTATTAATTCATTGGCCTCTTCTATGTCTCTCTAACCTCAAAATCTAGGTGTCTTTTTGAGGAGGAGACCAGCAGTGTGTTTGTGGCAATACCCATCCCTGTTGTGAGAACTTCCAGCCTCCAGGTCAGCCTGGACCTCAACCAATTTCAGGTAAGAAAAACTGGCCCTGCATACCTCAAGTTTCCATTCCACTGTTAATCTCCTACAGTTTCTAACAGCTATGCTGGCATTTCTCATTCCCTGGTAGAGTCCTTCTACCTTTGGACTAGCTTTATTGTCAACCTGTGCCCAGAATTAGCAAATGCCACAGAAAATGCATGCTACCATCAGATCACATTAGGAAGGTCTCTTTGCATTTTGCTTTATTTACACCCCTTTCTGATATCCTTAAACCTACTGATTTTGTAATTTATCTCCTTTTTCTTTTCTCTGTGTGTATGAATTATATTTTTTTGGTTGTTGCAGGATCATCTGCAGCCTATTTGAAAGCAGAGCTCCAGAAATCATTTTCTAGGCACAGCTGCAACCCTTTTGTTCATCTTGGCTCTATTACAGGTGAGTAGCTTTAGATAAATTCAGCACATCAGAGGAGGGGGAGCAAATGGACACATCTCTGAACCTCCATGAAACAATTGATAATGGCATGGATCCCATAGAAGACTGATCCACTTCTCTCCATCAGTTTGTGTTAGACACATTTAATTAACAATTTAGCCAGTTTCTAGGGATATCAAGTGTAAGGAACATTCTCAGTTCTATTCCTATTTAGGAGAATGAGATGTCAGCTCTGGACCCATAAAATTTGACATAGGTGTTTGGAAGTTAGTTCTAGGCTGACTTCTATTCTGCACCATATGGCTGGTCATAAGTAAAATAGTTAATACCTATGATTCTCAATGTTCCCACTCATAACTTCATATAGTTATTTTATTGTAATATTAAACACTAGAATGTAAAGTTGATTTCTTGGTGCTTTATATGTAATAGGCCTTCCTTCCACAAATTTGAGAATTTATTACAATATTAGGAGCATGCCATCTCATCTACTATGTACTTTTTAGGCAGGGGATTGATTATGTTTGGTTACTTTGGGAGGGGTGACACACAGTGAAAAGCATACTAGTGATCAATGGGATTCAGCAGTTTCATATTCTTAAATAACCTAAAACTCTGTAGAATGTAACTATTAACACTACCCTAGAGAGTATGATTCTCTTAATTACTTCTCATTTCTCTTATTTTTTTAACCATAGATTTTCTAGAATTGTATTTGAATAGTATACCATATATATTCTTTTATGTCTAATTTTTTCACTAAGTATACCATTTATATTAATACATGTCTCTGTTAGTAGAACACTTATTTTGTATTTATGGTTAGTATCCTACTGTGTCAATAGTCAATAGTTATATAAAGTTTGGCAATTAACACAATCCTCAAATATCATCAGTTTTGTAGAACCACTGGCCTCATGCTATAATTGGTCACCATCATAATCAAATTAACATTCTGATTTCTCATCTAAATCAATGAAGTAACCATTGTCAGCTCAACAGGATTCATTATCATCAAGAGACCATTTGCCATAGCTTTTTAGTAATATTTTATCTATTGAGAAGTCCACTGAGATGTGGAATCAGTGTCAGTTCCTCTAATAGTTGGTAAACTTATTGATTGTGTAGCCTAATTAATAAGAAGAAATGAAGAGCTTTTACAATTTATTGCAGAGTAACAACTATCCCCAGGATGCAGGACAATTGGAAACTTTAATGAATTAATAACTAAAAACACCAGATATAAATGGCAATGAGGCAAAGATGCTAATATAAATAGTTAAAAACTGAGTGATGGTGTATCTTTTCTCAATGGAGATGTTCAGGAGAGATATGCAACCTACCTATGCTGATTTTATTCTGAAATCCCTGAGCAAAAATATCATGAGACATACAAAGAATAGGTTTTCAAAAAGGAAAAACAGTAGCTAGAGATCTTGTAGCTATAATCTGCAGTATGGATAAAAGGTCAAGGATGCTGATCTTTGTATTTGTCTTTTTCCATTATTAGATCTGATTTGCTGTGTTGTCTTGGATGTGACAATCTGGTGGTGATTATTATAGTAATTCACTACTAGTACGGACATTTTGTGAGAGGTTAAGCAACTAGACTCATTCCATACTTGATCACCATTATAATCACACCAACTACCTCATTTCTCCTCCAAGCCAACAGAAGGACCATTAATCTGCTCTACAAGATCCACTGTTATCAAGAACTCATTTGCTTTTAGTAATATTTTATATCTTGAGAAGAGGTTTAAACCATGGAGTCTGTGTCAATTCCTTCACTAGTTACTGGCCTTATTGATTGCGTAGCCCAGTTAATAAGAATAGCGGAGGAGCTGTTGCATTTTATCTCACAGGAACAAGCTGCTTTTGCACAACAGAATAGTATGATGGAGGAGGCAGCAGCAGTTGTGCCTCCTCCTGGGGAAGAGTCCTTGCCGGATCTTGCTGATCTTTGCGATTTAGAATCAATACTTTCAGTGAAAGGAGATGAAGACCTAATCTTTGATATGGATGAAGCTATGATAGATGTGAATGACATCTATGAGGAGATACTCCCTGCAATAAAGGATGATACAGAAAGTGAGTAAGATTCAGCATGTGGAGATCATCATTTTTCTATTTCAAATACGTTCTATTTTCTAGGCTTTAGCAATAAGTGTTTTCTTCTAGTTCTGCATAGTTTCATTATTAAAAACACATAGAATAGGTAAGCCTTGATTTCTTCTTGGGAAAACCATCTTTTTCTAAGTTTTAATTCAAAGGATGACTTTAGTTATGTAGTTCTTCCTTTCCTTGTACTATTAGGATTCTTCATAAGATCAAATAATAGCAAAGAAAAGAATCTCCCTAAGAATAGAATGAAGAACTGATGAACTCTGCCACATACAAACACCCAATGTCACTATTCTGGCATAAATGGAAATTCTAAGGATAATATTCTCCAGCAGGGTATTACAGTGAATATTTTCACATGGACAGTACAATGTTGAGACATTGCATATTAAAGAGAGAGATTTCTATGGCAGAGTAAGGCAAATAATTCTGAAAGTGCCACATCTACCAGACAATAAATATATAGAATGGTTTTCCAGTTTTACTGGGGACAAACCTTTGAGAATTCTGGGGCCAAGATACGCCAATGAAAGACTGCTTCCACAAATGCTGATGCATACTGAAACTCTTTGCAATATTGTTCTCTGATGGAAACTGAAGCTTGTACCAGAAATGAAAGAAAGAAGTTCTAGAATGGCAAGACAAGGCCCAACAAAGACTTCGTCAACAGAAAGTCAAACTCTTATGTCATGACCTGGAGGTTATGGTCCACAAGGGGAAGTGGACAGTGCATATCTTCTTGTGTATAACTGAGTTTAAGACAGATAGAAAGCTTATTGTAGTAGGATGGCTACAACATTAACCTAGCAATATTTGTTATTAAGAGGTAAAATATGCAAGATGTAGACTTGTGTTGAGACACAGTAATCTTCTATGTGTCAGAAGGGTAAAACACAATAGTTTTAGCACCCTCATGCTGAAACAGAGAGCAAATATGCAAGAAATTCACTGATTATACTAACCTATGCCATACAATCATTTTACTTCCATGGACATACAGTATGGGCTTCTTAACAATTTATGTAGAGTCCTAAAGCACGTCATAGGTAAAAAGATTAATAGGGCATTTAGTACAGATGATTTCAGAGCTAACTAACATGACAGCTACATGGCAAGCATACAAGTAGAATAAATGAAAATTATGTTAAAATGCAGTTACCAGGGTTAGTTACATATTATAGTAGGCAGTATACTCTAAAGCCTATTGCTACAATACCTTTTTTTAAATAAAAAATTGAATCTTATTTTCCCAATATAAAACAGATTCTAGGTATGCAAGTACAGCCAAAGAAGCAAATAGGTGATGCACTGAAAAATTAACCTAGACAGATTGGAGAAAGGATGAAGAAATAGTGTAATTTTCTATGCCAGGAGGAAATGTTAATGAATAATTCTAATAATTAGTGAAACAGTTAGGATTCTTTTCACATTTAATAAAATATTTACAAATAATGATAAAAAGAATTGTAGGAAAGTTAGAAAACATAATCTACTAGGCTAGGCTAGGGACAACTAGGGGAAATATATATTGCCATCAAGACATTTTCAACTGTCGGATATGGGGTATAATTTTCTGTCAAAATAAAACTCAAATCATAAATAACTGAATAAACCCCAGAAACATCCAGAGAGAGGCCATCAGTCTACTATAAATTTTATTTGGTGAGTAATTTACCTGAGAAAGAGCAAACTTGTTGCTCTACAAACATCGTTGACACACTAAAGGGTAGATAGCAATCCAAGTAGAACCCTAGAGTATGGACTAAAAATTCGCAATTGATTAATAAAGCACCAATTAACTCAAGCAGGCCATAACAAGAGAAACCTGTAAGGCTACTCTAGACTTTGCAGTAAGACAAAGCCTTATACAAGACTGAACAATAATAAATAGACAGTGTGATTCTTAGATGTCAGAACAAGAAGATGCTGCAAGCTCGTAATATGTGGATCTGTTTAGCCCCTTGTTTACCTGCAACACCTGGAAAGATGGAAATATAATGGCACCTAAGAACTAAATACATATTTCAGTATTTGCCTTGATTGTATAATCATATACATTTAGGAACCATTAAGATGCTACTCTATTTCAAGAAACGGACTGTTGTATCAAGTATGTTTGCTATATGGGACAGTATTAGAAATAGAGTTAGAGGTGATAAAGAGCAAGCTTAGCAGAAAAAGTATTTAAGAACAAGATCCAGTGGGGAAGGTATTTTCCATAGAGAGAACATTTTAAATTGCTGGAGTTACACAGTTGTTTGAGATTACTTCCTGAGTTTTTAGTTTATCTGTGCCTTATGAAAATTAGCCAACCCTAAGATAGTGCTAGAAGTAGCTAGATAGTAGGTGATATAGATTAAGTAGATAGTTACATTAAAAGGAGAAATACTAATAATATGCTTTTTGGATGCCTCCTATTGAGATGTTGAATCTCCTCCATGAGAGTGGAGTGAGTGGCTGGTCTATTATCCAAGTAGCTGTGTTTTGGATCTTTTTAAGTTAATGCCCAAACCAGATTTTGTATGGCATAGAGAAGTAGAAAGGGAGCAAGGCTATATATTTTGAGACAAATTTAAAGGTGTTAAAATCAAGAGAGATAGGCTGGTAGATGGCACTGAAGTAGACGGTACAAATCTCAATGCTTTAGCTAAAGTAGGAAAGCTGCTGAAACTATATACCTGCATCCTTATATGTAATGATTTTTTCAAGTTCTTATGTTATAATTGCTTATGATCTTTATTGACTACTTTTCCAAACTGCTTGCTTTGAACTAATAAACTTTGATTTACAAACCAAAGAACTTGTAGTCTCCTTAAATTACCTAGTAGTAAATTTCTAGGCTACCAAACTGCCATAAAAGGACTTTGTTAAACAGAAGGTCATGGAATATAATCAATGAGAATGTTGTACCAAGAGCCTGACTGTCTACTTCTGACTTGTCAGATGATCTCTAAGAAGTGAATGAACATGGTGCTTCATCATTTGTAAAATGAGGATTACACTTTTTCTGCTTACTTTTAATGGTAAAAAGGAACAAATAAAAAATAGTTTTTAAAGTGTTTGATGTAACTGACAGTGGACTAGAATACATGAAATTGTGACATTTCATAAGTCATTCCATACCAACAAATGTCAATATGAAAATACCTGGAGATTTAATTGACATGAAAGGACAATCCAACAGTTTGCACCTGTTACTAAGAGTCAAATGTTTCCTCATTCTACTACTTTATGTAAAAAATTATAATTTGGAATTGGCTTTTGTTTAATTCTTTGAAGCACAGTTTTTCACCAAATTAAATTCTTTTGAAGAGCCTATTTGAATCCTAGTAGGAATAATTATGAGAAAAAGCTACAGTGAAAAAGCCCTTTAGGGAATAATGAATTATCTTCCACTTTATGCTAAGATTTTATTCCTGAGGGCAATACTGTACTGGTTTCTTTTCTCTTTGCTGTTTCAAAATACATGGCAGAAACATCTTAAGGGATGAAAGGTTTCTATTGGCTCATGGCTCATGGTTTCAGAGGGTTGCAGTAAACCATAATAAGGAAGGCATGATGATAGGAGCAGCTCTGTTTATGGTGTTGGGTGCTCAAATTCCTGGGGACCAAGAAGCAGTGACATGATCAGGAAAAGTGGTAAGTAGAACCTCCTAAGGCCTGCTCCTAGTAAACTACTACCCAAGCCCTATTGCCTAAAGGCTCTACAATACTTCAAATAATGTCATGAGCTGGGGACAAAGCACTCAAAACATGATCCTGTGGGGGGAATATATCATCTTTAAGTCATAACATTCTGTCTCTGTCTCTTATAGTCTCATGGCCATTTGATAATGCAAAATGCATCAACTCCAAGAGTACTCTTAGTTTTAACGATGTTCAAAACATCAAGTTCAGAATCTGCTCTCATATTCAAGATAGTCTTCTAACTATGGTCCAATATCAAATAAAATTAAAAAAGTACAGAAGTCCACACTTAAACATAAAGCCACCGAATGATCATTTCCTAAAGGGAGAAATGTGGACATACCAAGTAAAGATTGGAACTGCAGTTACAGGCATGCACTACCATGTCCAGCTGACTGTTACCTAGTTTTTCCTTTTTGAGTATTATCTCATTCTTATGTAGAGGCTGTTGCTCTTTGAATGCCTTTGGCCTGTGAGATTTTTGCCCATTCTTTCCCTAGCCTTCTTTGGGGGTCTTAAGGTTATTAGTAAAGTTATCTCTTAAAAATGTCTCCAAATTGTTTATTGGCTCTCAACACGTGACTCTTAGATTGAATTTGTTCCATCAGATCATGGGATAGGACCCACTTAAATTAATAATTAGGCTGGAGAGGTGGCTCAGTATGTAGGAACACTTGATTGTAAGCATGAGGACCTGAGTGCAAATCTCACAAACCCATATAAAACACTGGGTATGGTTGTACATGTCTGTAACCATACTGCTGTGTATAGAGGGGAGGCTATGATAAGCAGGATGATTATAGGAGTTTCTTGGTCACCCACCTAACTTGAAGTTCAGTGGAAGACCCTGTCTCAAGAGTATAAAGCAGACAGTGATGGAGTAGAACACCTATTGTCCTTCTCTGCCACCCGGGTATATGAATGAGTGGCTACACCTCTAAATACATGTGTATACATCATATATCACAGTTGGGTATACACAAACTCAGAGCATTATGTGAACACATAAAAATACTATTAAATGTGTAGAAGGGGAAAAGAAGAAACACAAGGGACAAAACAAAAATAAGGTCTAGGCTGGGCAGTGGTAGCACACCCTTTAATCTCAGAACTCAGGAAGCAGAGGCAAGAGGGTCTCTGTGGGTTCAAGGCCAGCCTGGGCTATTGAGTGTGTTCCAAGATAAGCCAAGGCTACACAGAGAAAGCCTGTCTCAAAAATGCCCATACACCCAAAATACAACAACAAAACAAGACAAAACAAAAAAGGAACTGCTGAAACTACTGAGCCAGGAGTGGTAGAACATGTCTGTAAACTCAGGACTTGGGAAGAGGATCAGGTGTCCAAAGAGCTTCCTTCATGAGACCCTGTCTCAAACACTGCAAATGTGTGCTTACATGTGCATGCACACACACCACCACCACCACCACCATCACCACTATGACCACTACCACCACCATCACCACCAAAACTAAGGAAAAGAAAATGAATATAAGAATAATAAACAGAAAATCAATACATCTTTTTCTTTCGCTTATTAAGACACATAAACCACATGCCTTTAAGGATTTTTTTAAGTTTTTGAAAGATTTATTTATTTACTTATTTATTTTGTGTGTATGGGTGTTTTGCCTGTATGTATGAATATGTACCACAACTGTGTTTCGTGTCCACAGAGGTCAGAATCATTGGATCTTCTGGAACTGGAGGTACAGACGGTTGTGAGCTACCACATAGGCACTGGGAACCAAACCTGGGTCCTCTGTAAGAGCAACAAGTGCTCTTCATCATTGAGCCATTTCTCTAGTCCCATTTCCAAGAAATTTAGGGGATTTTGTTTACTATGAAAATGCTAAATTCACTTCCCATAGGTAATATGGTGAAGATAAAGTTAGGCTTCATTTACTTATTTATGTCCAAACTAGAAATTAGCTGTATTGTTTCATAATATCTTACATGAAGGGAGCTTTTAACGGTTAAATAATCAGTGATCAAGTGAATTCACATTATAATATAAATTTTGAATATCATTATCTTGACAAATTTTGTCTCCAAACACACTAAATTCAAACTTGTAAAACATCCCCAAACAAGGAGGATCACTGTTTATCCTCTGTATTCCAAACACCAAGAACAGTACTTGACAAGTATTTGTTGAATGATAAAATGCTTTCCTTGTAAATAAGGTGACTGCTTTTTTGGTCACAAAGGAAATACACAGAAGCTGTCTGCAGATGAATGGGCCTAACTGTTCGTAAGGCTTATCCAACCACACATGTTTGAAGTCTTAAGTGGTAGAAAAATACTGAGGCTTGTTTTGATGCTGTGGACACTGAGAGCATTAAGCTTCCCCAGGATTCAGAGATGATCTCAGCTTACCTCTTTCTGGTGATATTTGATTGCCACCTTCAGCTTGGCCAGGTCGTGGTACTTCTGTGGGTCAAGTTCTTCACTGTGGTCGTCTCGATGGTTGAGGATGATCTCCAGTTCTCGGGAGCTCCGAGCTTGGTCCAGCAGGTCCTTGGCAAAGAGCTTACATTGCTGGGAGAGCTCCTCATACTCAGCCTTAAACTCATTTTCCACCTTGCTTAGCTCCTTGAGTTCCCAGCCCAGCCGGAAAGCAGTGAGGATGGGGTCCTCGCTTGATAAGGCAATGAGTGAGGGGCTTGCCAGAGCTTTGTAGATGTTCAGTCGGGACCTTGAATGACGCAGGCTGTCTACTTCCGAACTGGACACACACTCTACGCAGTTGCAGCGGATTTGGTGGGGCCGTGGGATAGTGACCCGCTTTTGGACAAGCAATTTGATGATTTCATAGTTGTTGGTGTGGGCGGCCAACATAATGGGAGTGATATCTGGTGTGAACTCAGAGAACTGGGTGTCCATCATCAGGGTGGGAACCTATACAAGAAATGACAAACACAGAGGGTCAGGGTTATAGTTAGGAGCACAACGGAGCATCCACTGTTAATTCACAAACTGAAATTTCCATTCTCTTGTGACTTCTCACCCAAACAGGTAATGTTTGTGGGCTGCTGTGTGGCACTTCCCCAAGCACTTCACTTGCATTTACTTATTTAATATTCACAACAACCCTAGTTGGTAAATATTTTTCCCATGGGACGAAGCTGTGAGAGGCTAATGGTCACACCTGGTTAATGGACACACCTAAGATTATGTAGTTTTCAGTAGTAGAAGCAAAATTCTGCCCAGGTAGTGCAACTGTGGAACTCAGCAATTAAAATTATGTTACCATTTTATGTCTAGTTCTATCTAACAGAATAAGGGAAACAAAGAAGTAGATGATGTTGTTCTTGGCCTTCTGGCTGAATTGCACAGATCATAAAGTCCCTAACAGTTCATGGTGGTATATGTTTAGCTTTAATTGAGCTGTTGAGACAGCTGGAATATTGGCTTGAAAGAACAAAGACAAGCAATCACTTTGAAGACCATGCAACTAAATAAAGTCATAATGACAAAAGAAAAGACTCTTCCAAATGATATTGACTTTGTATGCATACAGGACTTTAGCAGACTAAAGAGCAGACCTGATTAATGCAATTTCTTCTAAGTCCAGGAAGGTAGAAAAAATTAGGTATTGTCAGGGAGAAGTAATATTGTAAATGAGGAAGTCCAAGCTTGGGGCAGCATTGCTGATGACAAGGGGGTATTTGATAAAACTGCTGTGTCTAGGGTATGATGTATTGTGGAAACAATATCTATAGCTAGAAGGTGCAGAGTTCATTATGTATTCAGGAGCACACCTGGAGAAATGCATAGAACCTGATCAATGAATTAAAGCAGTCTTCCAACTTGAAAATAAATCTTCAGGGACTCAGTCTGTTTTCAGTCCAATAAAGAAAGTGAGAGGGTCTGGAGTCACAGTTGAGTTAGTAGAGTGTTTGTCTAGCATGCACAAGGCCTTGGTTTCAATTCCAAGAACCATATAAACTGGACAGGGTTGTGCACACCTGTAATCTTAGCAGCTTGGGGATGGGAAGGCAGGAACATCAGAAGTTCAAGGATATTCTTGGCTCTCTCTATCTTTCTCTATCTATCTATCTATCTATCTATCTATCTATCTATCTATCTATCTATCTATCTATCTATCTATCTATCTCAAGGACACTAAGGATACAGGAAATTCTGACTCAAAAATGAAAATACAACAGAAAACTAGGGAGCTCACTAGACTCACATGAAACCTATAAGATGGAGGAGGACAGGGACAGTGAGGGGAAGGTTTTTGGAAGGGAAATCTGTGTGAAGCATGGGTAGCATCCCAGCAGATGGGGGAAATATTGATCTTATTATATTTGAGGAAAAGAAGAGCACAGTGTCAAAACTCACTTTTCAATGGGCAGAAAAGAACAGGGTCAGTTGGGAATCTCATTAAATAGAAAAAATATTGTTTTAATCAATACTTTCTTTTTATTTTTTAAAAGACAACAACAATAACAATCTACAGTTACTGGAGACCTTACAAAAGCACGAATTACTGGTTTTCATCATTTTTACCTCCTTTTAAAAAAATTTCACCTTGTATTTCTAATACAAGGGATTTCTAATACAGGGATGTGGCCAGAAAAGGGGGAGAGGAAAGCTAAGGGGAACAGACAGCAAGAAATCTGTTGTCCTCACTGAGTACTTGCATTGGCCTATGAAGGCTGTCAGTCATCAATTGCTAGGATAGAGAAGAGAGTAAACATTGTGAAACATTGGGAAAGAGAAGCTACAAACAAAACAGTGGAAAGTGAACAACTTGACTCATAAAATAAATTGGACATAGGAAAGAACCATCTCAGAAATTAACATAAGCCTACAGGCTTAGGAAGAAATAGGTCTGAGTGGGCCTGGAAATGAACATAAACACAACTGGCATAAAGCCGTGGAGTGGGGAGAGATGGCAAGTGAGCAATTTGTCATAGTCTGCCCAGGAAGAAGAGAGCTCAGATCTGGAAAATCTGTCCTCTCTCTAGGTAGGGACATTTTCCGATCTTTGTCATTCTCTAAAATGGTGAGGAGAAGGTGGAGTGGGTGTCGACCTGTTGGACAGTGTTCTCTGGGTGAGGGTGGAGGTACAGTCTGCTTTGTAACATGCTGCTCAGCTTGTCCTCTCACCCACTCCTTCCTTGCTCTTTATACTTTCCAGCCTCCTTTCCTTTCCTTTTCTTCTTTTCAGTGCTGACAGGCCTGTCCAAGACCCACAGAAGTACACAAGATTGTTGTTTAACCCTACTTATGTCATGGTGCTGATAGGAGACTGTATGCTTGAAATAGGAAAAGCTCTCTGGAGCTATTTGATTCCCATAAGGAGCATTCTGATACTCCACTTGGTTTTTTGGTTATTTGAGCCCAAAGAGGAAAACTTTTCCAAAGAGTGTAATGACCATGTCTTCCCCCAACTGCCTATTCAAATATTGTAGGCTCGAGGTTTCATCTGAGATAACTACTTTTCTGATGCTCCTTTACATGGTTCTCTATCTCACAATATGCTTCTTTGCAGCCTTGTGAGAATTAGTGTTAATTGTCAACTTGATAGAATCTAGGATCAACTGGGAGGTGGGCCCCTGGGCATGACAAAATAATAAATCAACCAAAAAAAATGGACAAATTAGCTGAACAGACAGCTCTCAGAAGAAGTACAAAAGAGCACCGCACAAGTGGCCCAGTGGTCAGCACAACTTGCCATTCAATCATGAGGGCTAGCGTTCAGGTCCTAACATTCATGTTGGGTGACTGACAACCACCTGTAACTCCAGCTACAAAGATCCAGTGCCATCTTTTGCCCTCTGTGGTTGTACACACACATGCATATACACTCACACAAGACACATATATTCAGACACATACACACACAAAAAAATAAAATTTACATAAAATAAGTACAAAGGAGCCAATGAACACATAAAAAGTTCAAAATGTTTAACCATCAAGGACATGGAAACCAACACGACTTTGAGATGGTGGGTATAGTGACACATACTTCTAATTCCAGCACTTTGGAGATAGAGGCAGGGGAATCCTGAGTTCAGGGTCAACTTGGGATACAAAGACTCTTGAAATATTTACCTTCTCAACTGGGATTGGAGAAAGGGCCTGAAAGAAATGAACTTGCTTGAATCCAAGTTGTGGAAGTCAGGTTTGCAAACGAAAGAGTTCAAGTCTTAATTTTAGAATAGGCTATTTTAATTCATTTTTGCTAAAGCCTGCTGTGTGTCTAGCACTGTGCTCTGTGCTGTTGGGCAACAGAGAAGACTAGGGAAAATCTTCCATACTTACTGTACTTACTGAGGAGTGTTAGTTTCTTTTCTGTTGCTGTGACAAAATACAACAACTTAAGGAAGGAAGGGTTTGTTTTAGCTCACGGCTTAGGCACAAGCCATCATTATCATCATTATAGGGCAGCCAAAGCAGGAAGAGCCTGAAGCAGTTGGTCACATGATGTCTTTAGTAAGAAGACACTATTAAATGCATGCTAGTGTTCACTATCCTTTGTCTAAGTATATAGTCCAGGATCCCTGCCAGGGAATGACACCACTATGAGTGGACATGTCATCCCACATCACTTAAATAACATTATCAAGGTAATCCTCCATAGTCATGCCAAGAGGCCCATCTCTCAGTTGACCCACTCACTGGAAGTGGCACAATTTCATATGTAGAAGATTCTGAACTGCAAAAAAGCAGAGAGCAGGCTGAGTACTCTTAAGCATGCATGCACCTATTGCTGTCTCGATCTCTGCTCTTGACTGTGGATGTGATGCAACTTTTCCATGTCCGCACTGCCTTGCCTTCTCCACACTTATGGACTGACTGTGACCTGGAATTGTGAAGTAAAAAAAAAAAATCTCTTCTTCCCTAAGTTGATTTTGTTTTCTCAGGGCATTTTATCACAATAAATTGAAATCAAAGAATGAAAGAAATCAGCCTCTGTGAGCTCCTCCACTCCCCCAAGCCCAATGGTTTACTCCAAGAACTCTGCCCAGCCCTACTTTTCAGAGCGGATAATGAATGAGGGAGGAGAAGTGCAAATCACCATTGTCACCCTCCTCCACTCAAAATCCCAACTGTTGGGGTTTTGCATTAGGGCATCATCTTTATTTTATTAGTGTCTGAATTGACATATCCATACCTGTGCCATAGTGTGTAATAAAAGACTTCACTCTGGATTCGTAGACTGAAATTTTTGGTGAATACACCAGTTAAGAAGCACAAATGTGTCTGTGAAAGGAATGGGATGAAGCTGCAACATGATCATCTTGACTGGGAGCGGGGGACCAGGGAGGGTGAGACATTCCAAATAAAGGGAAGTAGGGACTTGCGAATAGTTAGTTCAAGGTGCCTGAGGTGATGAGCAGATGGGGTCCAGAGCAAAGGATGGTTAACGTGTATTTTTAACTTGATCAAGCTGGAAAGTCTAGGAATTTAGTAACGCACATCTTTGGATATCTATGATGATGTTTCCAGAGATGGCTAGGCCATGAGGGCTCTGAAATATTAAAGAATTAGTCCTTCGATGGATTCATAATATGAGGACATTATTGAGAGATGGTGAAATATGGGGTGGGACCTAGTTTGAGGTAAGTAGGTGGGGAAGAACATTTGCTCTGTCCCCTTTCTGTAAGCCCTTGATCTGATTCCTGGCTGATGTGAAGCAAACAACTGTGTTCCACTCCCCCCAGCCCCGTCTTTGAACTGAGTCTTCTGAAGCTGTGAGCCCTAATAAATTCTGCCTCACTTATGTTATTTGTGTCTGGTACTTTGTAACATGATTAAAAATATAACTAAAACAGCTGGGTGCATTATAAATAGAGATTGTGTATATGTGTACTGCTTACGTAGGAACATATGAAGTTTTCAGCAAATGTGGTCTCTATAACTATCACAACAGATACAAG